TAGAGTACTGCCAGAGGAGCCCTTGCAGTCCCCGTAGAGTTACCCGTCTAGTAACCCATCGAGTATCCTTACAGTATCGGACGATGTGGGGATCTTCATCGTCATTGGGCGTCGCGACGCTTCGGGGCAGTTCAGTCAATCCCTGGACTCCTCTTTTCAGGCTTCTGAGAGTTCATGGTTTAAGGTTTTGGGTTAAGGGGTTTAGTGTTGAGGGTTTTTTGGGTTAGGGGGTTGCAGGGGTAGGGCAGTAATTAAGCCTGCTAGAGGCGTGCAGCTGCCCTACCTATCACCAGCTTTTACCTGCCTGTCCCACGCGAGTAGAGTCCCTAGCCGTTCAAAGACACACCCCCCAAGCCTCGTAACCACCCACCCCAATAGCTCTTTTCAGTACAGATATGGGTTCCGTTTTCGGAAGAGAAATGCCAAACTCAGCATTGGGCACCGAGAGGTAATCTATCGAGAAAGAGTATCTTTGCGGCACCAGCTTCGAGAATTTAAGCCACTGCTAGTCGGATCTTTGGGTTCTTTGCCGGTCTCGTTAAACACTTAACCCAGTCCGAACCCTCAACCGTCTAACGGCGGAGGCTCATGCTTGGTTTTTAACCCTAGGCCCTAAACCCCAAAGATCTACGAATTATTAGACATTTAGATCCGCGCCCGCGGTTCGTAGAGGAACCCCCGCTCTTGGAGAGAGACAGGAGTTGAGTGCCGGCAGGTTCGTGACATGGGATACCCTCTTGTCCCGAGACCCACACTCATCTGAAGAAGGGTCCGTATAGAACACTTTTAGGTAGCCTTCTAGCAACCCATGTCATGTAGTACCCTTATCGTTGCCTTTAGAGCGCCCTAACCTTCTTTGTCTGTCTTGAGAGGCTCAGTCACCACAGGCTGCCTTCCACGAGGTTCGGGGCTCAGCGGCCACACAGGGCTTAGTCAAGAACAGGGTCAGGTCGAATGGTGAGATCATGACGGCAGTCGTAGGCATAGGATAGGAGCCAGAATAATTACCCATGTCATTCCTTACGGCTCCATCCTTCTACTGTCCCCCCGGGCCCTAGTTTAACTATTAAAGTCCCGAAGGGTAACTCGTAGTGATAGAGACTGTCGAAAGGTGGGGACGACAAGGGGGTTGCCCTCCGAACTTCAAAACAGAAAGTCTTTACATCGGAGAGTCTTACAGGCAGGTGACGAGCAGGCCGCTCGAACCTCACAACAAGAGTACCCTAAACCCCAACTAAACCCTGAACCCTAAACCATAAAACTCAAAAGCCCAAACCCTGAACACATGCTTCGTTAAAACCCAGCGCCCTGAAGCTGCCACAGTCGAACATGCCTCGCATGGAGAGCATGAGGTCCGAAACCTTGTTTTTTTTTTGTCTGGGCCAGACAAAACACAGAAGTCTCAAGAACCAATGTAGAGTATTATTCCTTCATCGTCCTTATTTAAGTAGACTAGTATACCCCAAAGCCCTGATTAAGGCCCCGTCAAACCCTCAACCCTTGACCCGTGCACAGATACGCACACTCTTTCGCTGGCAATGTGGGCAAAACGGATATCGTTTTCTTCTTCTGTAGTAGTTCTGAACTGCGACTCGAGCAACTAGTGTGAGCCTTGAGCCACATGGTCCCGTGGTCACATATATCACATCAGGCACGCTGACATAGCTTGTATCTTCAGCGTCGTTGAGCTCATTGTTTACGTGGTTGAGTTTCTACACAATCAGTTTTGTGCGAGTGTGTGATAAATGCACCCCAGCTGTAGTGCGCATCTCAATGTCGCTCATGCTCGTGTGCTTACTCGAGTATGTGTCAAGCTTCGCCTGGTCTGGGTAAGTGTGTCGACATCACCGCGCACTTGAGCCGAGTGTGCTGAAAGTGTGACCTAATTTTGATTGAGTTACCTCAACAGACAGACACGTCAGATGTCATGCGCATTTTCGCATCCAAGCCACAAAGGACTAGTTTGCCAACACATAGGACAAGGTGCTAAACAGACATGGCCCGCCGCCATGCATCCAAATATCAACGCATGACCCCCCCCCCCCCAAAGACCCCTCAATCCCTCAAGTCCTGAACGGATGCTACAACTTAGCCCTAAACCCTGTGGCGGCCTCCAAATCCCAAGCCAGTTGCGTTGCTGCTGGACCATGTTTAAATGCCTTTGCCGTTTGTCTTGGCCCAAGCTGCGGAGTGCAGCTTGCACTACTGAACCGATGGTTTCGTTTCTCATGCTGCATCATTTTCAATACACCAGTTGTGGTACGAAGAGGTTCTTCAGATGTTGCGCCATCATGACTATCACCATCGTGCTTCACGCGGTACTCACTTCACAGCCTTTCATCTCGCAAGTTTTTCTAGGAAAGGCCGGCAGGGAAGCGGCTCGGTGGCTGAGGTGCCTCTGAAGCACGTTGAGCCGGAAGCTTCAATCCTACACCCGTGTCGTCGAATGGAAAGCCCCAAACCCGAACGGATTAGTGGGCTTGAGAGACCCAGATCTTCAAATATCCCTTAATTCAAGAGCTTGGGGTTTTCTAGGTGGCCGAGGCTGGTTGTCAAGATTGTTGCAGGGTGTAGGGGCTTGGGGTTAGGAGGGTTTGGGGGGTGTGTCTCTGTCAGTGCCGTAGGAAGCATGCGTATGGGTGCACTAGTATGCATGCATGCATGCATGCATGCATGCATGCATGTATAGCTACACGAAATTACGCACGTGGTTCTGAACTGTCGCATGTGAACATCTCCAAATTCATTGGAATGTATATTGACGTGGTGCATGTGAGTATGTACGCTGGTGAATGTGCAGTATACATGTGTAATGCATGTGTGTTGTATGAATGCATCTCTCCGTTAGCTTTCTTCAGCAAGGACGGGCTCGCTTGCGTCCATGTACGAAAGCACGCATGTGAGCAGGAACATTCGCTTGTGAACAGATTCATTGGTAATTAAGTATAAAGAGATGGTGCAGGTGAGTATGTGCTCTCGCCAGTATAGAGCAATCATATGTGAATGCATGCATAATTAATTATGTTTGCCACTATTTTTTCGCAAAGACATGCTCGCGGGCGTGCATGCATTGCTGCATGCACTCCTGTCAATGTGAATGCATAGCCGCAAACACGAACGCCGAGCAGTGTACATGACTAGTTGCTTGTGCTTGTGTTTGCCCCTGTCATGTATCCTTCAGAGCGCTCTGCTTTTGTTGCATTCACAAACTCAAGTGCGAAGATATCTGCGTTTGATATCTGCGTTTGCGTGGACGCATAGTCAACCACAAGCCGACCATTGCGAAAGGCTACTAGGCTTTCAACCTATTGCAGGCGGCAACAACAACCGTAAACTCTAGACTCCTGACCTAGCCCCTTAAAGCCTAAACCCTTCATCCAACCGAAAGGGCCATGTCCGTCTCTCGGCTCTTGCTGGGCACTGCGGCACTCCTTACATTCGCGGCTGCGCGACAGGAGGTGTTCGTTTCTTCTGTCAAACTGCAGAGTTTACGCATTTAGGGATGAGGTTTGGATGTTATGATTGAGGTTTGATTTTGAAGCTGGGCCCGGAGGTGAAGAGTATGGGGATAGGGGGTGAGGGATTTACGCTCCATCGGCTTGAGGATAATGAAGTGGGGGGAAAGAGGGACTGGGAGGTCTCTCAGTTGCGGGTCAGTGTGGACATGTCTTTTGGAGCACCTCGAATGGTAGCTTCAGAAAAGAGTCATCTCCTTGATGGGTTACTTACTCTGAGCCACCTAAATTCAATTAGTTTCAAGCCAGTGGGGAGCCTCGTCTTCAATTCATCGGTGTGTCAAAGCAGCCAGCTTCAGGGTTTCGGGTAGGAAGCCCTAATCGTCGGAAGCCCCCATTTTGGCGCAAGCACGGATAGCTCCCTTGGCATGAGATCTTCAAGGCGCCCTGTAAGAGCCCTTCTTGTGGAAGCCGACTGTCGGAAGCACCCTTGCGCGCAGAGGCCGCCGTCCAGGACCCTGGACGATGCACCTGGGCTGAGCCATCCTATGCGTGATTTTCGGCTTCGGGTTTTGCAAGCCTTAGTCTAAGACACCGCACTAGAAGCTGCAGCAATCTCCAGGATGTTCGAGATCTTGGTAAGGGTGCCGCAGCCGCAGTACATGCTGCCTGAGTTCTTCTTGTTTCTGCTGCCACATGTGAGCAACTGGTGTAGGCCTGAGCCCCGCCATCTACCATATACCCCTGGGTCCTGAACCCTAAACGCGGCGTAGGGTTTACCGCAGGGTTTAGGGTCACCAAAATCATCATCAAGAATCCCAGAGGTGATGCTGAAACAGATGCCACGCATCTCCTGCAGAAGCCGGCCAGGCCAGGAAGGATTGCTCGAGCTTTGGTGGGATCTCTATGATTTGCAACGGAAGGAATTGCCGTGGGCGTTTTTGTTAGCACTCCTCTCACTCACAAGGCTCACCCATCGATCCATGAAAAAGAGCTTGCATGAAGCCTCGATGACAGCTCAGAGAGTTTACGAAAGCTCGGAATGCCCGCATGCGGGATATACTTGTATCCAACCCAACACACTATACCTGAAAACCTTACCCACAAACCCCAAGAATCATCTGATGTTTTCATGGAGTAGACAGTTCAGACTAGCTGTGGAGATCGTATGACACCCTTGAGAAGTGCCCCATTTCAGGGTTTGTGGACGAGCGGGCCCACGAAAGTTTTTGGGTGCGTGAAAGTGCGATGATAGCTGGGGCAATGAGCCTTGTAGCTGCAAGGCAAGCCGTTTCAAGCTTGGGTGTAATTTCCGAGATGGTTCATGATAGCCATCCAAAGCCCTGATGTTTTTGCACCTTGGGTTTCTGTTCGAGCGCAAAGTTCGATAGTGCCGTCCCTCTGCCAACACCCCACACTCTTCAAGTCGCAAATGCCCTCTGGATATTGTAGCATGTTGTCCAGTGGCAGTTCCCCTAACCCTAAACCCTAAACCTTAAACGCTAAATTGCGAGAGGGAAAAAAACCTTAAACACTAAAGTGCAGGTCATCCCAAGGAGGCTTGTCCCTGGTTCAATCCGTTTGGTGCTGAGCGGTGCTGGGGTTTGCAGCCCTTTAAGGCCATCCCGAAGCCCAGGCAGGAGTACCTTCTGCCATCTTCTGCCCCAATATAGAGGGCTAGAGTACAAGTTTGGACAACTAGTAAAGGTATTTCCCTCATAGTTGCTATATAAGTGTATAGTAAAATAGTACCCCTACAGCCCTATTCCAAACCTATATAGGCCCTTCTGTTTTTGGGTTCTATCTGTGTTTATCAGGGTCCCTGCTTTCTGAAGCCATGAACACTCCACACCCGTACATTGTGTCGGGAATTTAGAACAATTATGTTGCAGAGCCGTCTTGGCAGTCTTGGTCATCTTAGTCAGGCGGGGGGAGCAAGATTGCCAAGCAATCTTGGCAATCTTGGTCATCTTGCCCCTGGCCCACGTGCTCGCCGGCTAGTTTACCTTTTGCAGGCCAAGATTGCAAGATTGCCTGCAATCTTGCTCCGCCCCTCCCCCCGGTGCCCCACTTGCTCGCCGACTAGTTTACCTTTTGGAGACCAAGATTGCAAGATTGCTTGGCAACCTCGGTCGCAATCTTGGTCTAAAAGGTAAATTAATCGGCGAGACCAAGATTGCAAGATTGCGTGGCAATCTTGCCCAAATAGTTGTTCCAGATTCCCGGCGCACAGTACCGGTAGCAGTGAAAAAACGCAGGAATCCTCAACATGGTGTTCAACTTCCCAAACTTCAGGCAAAACATCGCTCCGCAGCCCTGACGAAAGAACTTCGAACACCGAAACCCCGAAGTCCTATAGGGCGGAATAGTTACTCGTAGCAACCCCTTTTAATTCCCTACTATAAGCCTTGGCTAGTATGCCCCAAAACCCTATTCTAGCCCTTGAGGCCCCTACATTAGGGCACTCGGCGTCGAGAAATTCGGAGAGACAGACAGATGGCCACCTTGAGCTCGAGCAAAGCCCGAACTCTAGTCCTTAAGCCGCAAACCCACATCTCAAATGCAAAGCCGCAACCCACCAAACCAAGATCTGTAGACGGCAAGCTTACGTTGCAAAACACGAGCCTCGAAGCTAAAAGACCCCGAAGGGCCAAGCCCCAATCTTCCCGCCTTACCACACTCCAAGCCCTGGCAAAGCCCCCTAAAACCGTCCAACGCCCTAGAGCAAGCCTCATGAACGCTACTGGTAGCTGCATCTAGCGATTCATCCATCCTAAACCCTAAACCCTAATCCCGAAACCCCTAAACCCCTAAACCCTAATCCCGAAACCCCTAAACCCTTAAACCCTCAACCCCTAAACCCCTCCGTCCGTCTTTCCGTCTTTACGAAGCCGAGGCCTCCCAAGTGTGGAGCTCTGGGGAGCGCGTCGCCGGCATGGGTGGCATGGAGGCCTAAAGGATAGAAGGAGCTTGTTCGGTTCTATATAAGGGGGCTTCGAGATCGAGGCTTTTAAAATCAGGGGTTTTAGGGTTTATCGGTTTGGGGTTTCAGGGTTTCTTGCGTTTTAGGTCTAGGGAGTAGGTTTCAGGGCTTTCGGGCTTTAGGTCTTGGAAGGCTTAGAGTTGCCAGGCCCCAGGAAGGATTTTGGGCGAGGTATGTAGGGTTGAACGCTCAGTGGTTTAAGGCTTTTTTTGAAAGGAATAGGACGTGTAGGGATTCAGGGCTTAGTGCATTGCAGTCCCTGCTCAAAAAAAAGGGCAGCAGGATTGAAGATCTAAGGGTTTTTAGGGCATGTGGGGTTTAGGTGATGTATTGCTTGCCGAGATAGTTCCTGTTTCTTGGGTCGCTATCGTTTGGAACCTCGGCGCTGAGCTTCAGAGATCGTGGGCGGACTCGCTGGCTGACACTCAGAGCCCAGCTCCGCTGTCCACAGAATGAACGCTAAGAAGTGCCACCAATGAACAAAACCACGATACCGACCACCGTGATCCACCGTGTCATGTTATTGAAGCTGTAGATGAAGCACACGTAGCATGAGAAAGGTCATGACGGTGATGAAGAAGAGGGGAAGAAGGTGACTTATGATGATGGTGATGACGATGATAACGATGATAAGGATGATAATGATGATGATGGCGACGATGATGATGATGATGATGATGATGGCGATGGTGCTGATGAGAAGGTAGGCCGCACTTCAGAGGTGGCTAACTGTACCGATCAGTATTCTCGCCTCCCCTTTTCCTTACCATGCTTGGTACCGTACACCTCTGTTTCATCAGACGAATGAACATTGATTCAGTTTTTTCTCTGGATGCTCTTCGGGTTCAGCTTCTGACGGGAGATATGCACCTTTCTGGGTGGGTGAGGGCCCCGTAAGCTTCGACCTATGTAGTCCTTACTCAAGCCCGAAACAGTTTGACCTAAACCTGAAGGCGGAGACTAGATGCAGCGCATCCTGTCAGGGAGGCATCTGAGACTCGAGATATTTCCAGTTCTCGTTCGACCCAAATCCGAAAGTTCTTTAACTCAGAACAAGGGTCCGATTGTCTGGAATGGAATCCTGCATTGGCGTTTCATGAGCTTCCCGAGCTAGCATAGCGACGCAGGTGCAGATGATGATTCTCCTCGGCGGCATATTCGGAGGCACCTCAGATTCTGCTAAATCGGAAACTGCATTCCCGGCATCTTCCGAAGCTGTAGCTGTAGCCAAGCCAGGAAACCGAACTGCAGACTCATCTGCAGAAGCTGTAGCCATTGAAGTCTTCCTGCAAAAGGTAGGGTTCGGGGTGTGGGGTTGAGGGTTTAGGGTGATTCACAGAACAGTCGGCGCCTCGGTTCCTGGCATATGCAGATAGTCCAGGTGCAAAAGGGTGATGCGACTTGATGCATCAACGCCCAGTCTGAGCCCCCAACCTCGTCAAGGATTTCCGATTACTCTTGGCTCTTGTAGGCAATGTAGGAAGATGATTTAGCAACCCTGGTTTTAGCTCCCCAAATACGAGGTTCAATATTAAAGAGGAATAACAAGAACTAGGCTTAATCAGATTCCTATAATCCTGACGGTCAACCCTGGACGCCAAAGCTGGCAGTATGTCAGCCTGGTCTTTAGGAGCAAAGCTTTCCGGCTGGCTAAAGAGTTGTACCTGAACTGTCCTGGCTGAGGTAGTGCCCAACCTTGCCTGCAAACCTCTCAGAACAGCCCAGAGACTCCAATACCCCTTAATTAAGGAATATACCCTAAACCTTATTAGGGGTCCTACTATCATTTAAGGTATATTTCTTAATTAAGGGGTATTGGAGTCTCTGGGGCTTCAAAGCCGTAAAGCTGGAGCCCTTCCTCGGAGGAAGTTTTGGAGGGTCCTTGTTCGGGGTCTCATTAGGTTCTGCTCAGGGACGGCCCATTGCTCAGGCGCTGTGCTGCATTCGATGAACCTGCCCACGGCCGCTGCCTCTGCATTCAGATCACGAACCCATATCCCAGCCAGCTAAACTCCCAAACCCGATGCCCAGAATTCACATCTCCTTCATCGGTTGGGTTTGTCTCTCAGCCTCCCGCTGTGCTACGGCATTCAAGTTTGAGTGATTTGTGCATGTTCTTGTCAACACAAACCAGACACATAGTCGGGAAACCTAATTATTGTGTTGTGGTAGTTCCAGCGACAGTGATTGTCAGAGTCACTCTGAACTAGCAGCATTCGCAACAGCATCGTGCGCGTAGTGATCACAGTGTCAGGAGAAATTATGGTGGCAGCATCTGCTCTGGAAAAAGTAGTCAGAATGGTGACCCCTTTATTTCTGGGACTGCCGTCGCTCGTGTTTCGACGGCATGGATCTAATATAGAGCCTTAATAATTAGAATAGGGTTTTGGGCCTTTGGGGGTATCATACTATAGATAAAAAGGAACCACCAAAATAGTATGGGTAATTACTTGGGCCCCTACATTATGACCTCTTGCTCCGGCTGCTCTTGAATAAAGCTTCACGGGGAGCTTGAAGCGAGATATCTCAACCAAGCTTATTGGACCGCACATGGTCATAAACCTTGAACCGTCAATCTTGAATCCTAAGCCCTGGGCATAGGGCTCGTTCTTGCTAAGTGGGAGGGAAAAAATCCCAAGCCCTAGGCCCGAAGCCCCACTTCCTACAGCTTCAACCTGAAAGCATCGCCGCTTCTGACCACACCTGGGCTCCCGAACTGAGATCGGCATGCTTTCGATCTACTTCGGCGCTCAGACTGGGCTTGGTCTCTACATGAGCCCCAGTCAAAACACACTGGTTTAGGGTCAGGGTTGAGAGGATCCTGGGACTCAGGCTTCAGATTTAGGGATCCTGGGTTTTTGGGCTTCAGGTTTTCAGGCCTGGGAGTGGCCATCGTTTCCTTGCGGGTTGGGGGGTTGAGACTTCGGAAGTTTCGGGGTTTAGCCGTCCTTCGCACTCGCAGGTTGGCTTTCAAGGGATCGGACATCATGGGGGTTTGCGGCAGAAGCAGTGCCGGGTTCCTATGGAGTGAATAGCAAAGGCTGCGCAGGAAGGAGGGCAGTAGCTTGTGTAGAGCTTTGCTCCAGTTAAGGCCAGACTTGTGCCGGCCAGTAGGGTTTTGGGTGACCTGAGGAAGATTCTCCTGTCAGACCTTCCCATAGCTGCCGAGCTGAACATCCGCGGCGTGCTTCTTGACGTCAAAGCGGTAATGGTAGTGTAACATTGAAGCAATAGCAAGCAGTGGGATCGCATATTGCTGTCGTTGTGGGGTCGCGAACTAGTCTAACAAACAGTGTTAGGCACATGATCATCGACTGAAGGAGAACTACGAATGGTAGGGTGGTCGTGGTGGTGGTGGTGGTGTTCGTCGCGGTCGCTAGCAGCAGAATCAGCAGGAGTAGCAGTAGTTGTTGTCGGCGCAGCAGCAGCAGCAGCAGCAGCTGCAGCAGCAGCTGCAGCTGCAGTTGCAGTAGGGGCAGCAGGTGCAGCAGCAGCAGCAGCAAGAGCATTAATAGTAGCAGCAGCAGCAGCAGGAGGAGGAGGAGGAGTAGTAGTAGTAGCAGGAGTAGCGGTAGTAGTAGTAGTAGTAGTAGTAGTAGTAGTAGTAGCAGGAGTAGTGAGTAGTGAGGAGTAGTGAGGAGTAGTGAGGAGTAGTAGCAGTAGTAGTAGTAGTAGTAGTAGTAGTAGTAGGAGTAGGAGGAGTCATTGCAGTTCGATACAGCCTTACCCGGACTGTTCGAACGGTGGAACTACAAACCCGCCTGTTCTCACCCTCAACTCCCACCCCTTGTATTCCATTAAATCTGGGCGCTTCTTTTGCAGAAACGGGTGGGGGGTTATCGACCGTAGGGGCTTAAAACAGCTCCAAGGTTGATGGGGTTTCATTGCTGCTTTGACTTTTTGTGGGTTGCGCTGTTCCATTCAGCGGGTTCATTATCTTGACTACGCGGTCCCTGAGGAGGAATTACATGCCGTGGCATTTTGCGGGTTTGCAGGGAGTCATTCCAAGTAAGTCTGAGGGTGTCTTCTAGCTACTTTCTTCCTAGCATATGATCTAGCGGCTTAACACCCTCCTCCCCTCATTTCCTCAGGTCCGATCATGTGCTCGCATGGCATGCCTTCTCAAGTTGATGCTCGCCCCTGTACGCTCCAAAGGGCGGCTTGCAATATCAACAGTTTTGCCAGAAGCTTCAACGCTGCATGGAAGTTTCAGAACCGACAAAGTGGTCCTGACGATTAAAACCCGAAAGTTAGAAGCCGACAAGTTCAACCCATTGGGAAATGGTGGAAGGCGCTCACTTCGAACAGAACGGAGGCCCAACGAAGACATGCCGAGACTAATATAGGGGCCTTAATAGTTTCAATAGGTTTGGGCATATATTATGCTACAATTATCATCAGGAACCCCCAAATCCTTATTCTAATTATGACGGCCCCTATACATTAAAATCCGAACCCTCTGTACAACCACGTTCTCCCAAGCCCGTAGTATGACCCTGAAAGCCACTACGTCCTAAAGCACAAAGCGTTAATCCCAGAATGAGTGAGCATCGAGCCCCCTAAGTCCCACAAGGGACTTCTTGCGAAGCGAGAGGAATATGCCTGAAATGGAGTTGTACTAAGAAGCACTCTATGTTCCTCGGTTAGCTCAGCAAAGAGGTGTAATTAGGCTCTCTCTCTAAACCCTGAGCTGAAATTTCCTGAGCTACAAGCCTTCCGACTTCGAGGCCAGCGCCATTTCTGATCACCGCTCTTCAACAACTCTTGACATTCGTGGCGCTTCCTGGCCGCGAGTGAGGGTCGCAGGTTCAGGGTGGAGGGTGTGGGGCAGCACGCTCAGCTAGTGAACAAGAGACCGTCTGAAGAAAAAACAGTAGCCCCTAAGCCATCTTAACTCCTGAGCCTAAAACCCAACGCCCTGAGCCTTGAGCCCAGAAGCTTGAGCCCTAGATCCGGGAGTGATGGAGTCTGGGGTCGGAGGTCTGTCGGGCTCTAGGTCTCCTAGAGACGTTGCAGTACCGTAGACTTTTGATGAATGAAAGCCGCTTCCATGTAAGGGCCTTCATATTCTGAGCCTTGTAACTTCTGTGGAGACCAGGGTCTATGAATCAGGGGTCTACATTGTTCAGGTTCACCATTCTTCATTAGTTTGACGTGCCAAAGCTAACGACCAGCCTATCGTTCCTGCCCAACGCCAGCTCACTTCCTGAATGCTCGTTTAGGGTTCAGGGTCTTTGAAACTCCTTGCTCACCACCCTGTACCCAACCGGAGTTTGCAGCTCCCTATCGTGCTTTTATATGTGTGTACATCTATATGTATATCTGCGTACTTGAACACAAATATGTTAGCCAGGGTAGAGCCCAAGAGACGATCAACCCTACTCCACATCACCCCCTACCCTCAACCCGAAGATCTGCATGACTCCATCTTGAACCGAAGCCCCAACCCCCAAAACCAAACGCGAACTCTCCTTGCCATGGCAAGACACCCTAAACCTCTACATGAATCCTGTACCCAAAGACCTAAACCCTGGACAAAGGCCCTCAAAACATCCCCCTAAACCCTAAACCCTAAACCCTAAACCCTAAACCCTAAACCCTAAACCCTCAGCGTCCGGAAGGCTGGTGGTGGTTCTCCTGGCCCTTCTCCCCACGCGCTGGGCCTACAAACCGCGGCAGCTTCAGGATGCCAAGGAGCAAGGGCAGCACGGGGTCTTCAGGGCTTTAGGGTTTAGGGTTT